GTTATGGAGAGCCATGATCGATTACATCCTGAGGGGACATGGTACATAAAGAAGAAGAGAGAGTATTAGATTGTAGGTTTGAAGGTCTGGGATCCATGTTATGTCCTATGTTGCACAAATGATATTTTGTTAACTTTTTTGTTCTTGTTTTAATCATTTCACCCCAAGTAAGGTGATAAAGCCACTAACATGCAAGAGGTTACTGAGTGTGAGAGAATCTGAGAAAAACATTATTAAGGAAAGAGGACAATAAAAGAACAGGATTCAAAGTGACAAGATGACAATTGACATTGTATTTAAATTTTTGAAGATTGTAGTTGACAGGAAAGAAGCCAAAAGAGATTTCCACAAGTGAGATGTGCAAGAGAAGAAACCTTTAATATAAATTCTATGGTCACATCTAACAATTTCTACAGCAATCTAGAATTGTACTTAAATTCATGAGTTTGAGGTACTAAAGAGGAAAGCTCATCAGAACAATTACCATGAAAATACAGAAAAGGGACAGAGAAGTTATGTTACAACAGAGAAAAATTGACTGAAGCTGAGATGCTAGATCAGGACTGATAACATTATAGATTTTTCTTTCGGTTTCTAGGTACATGGCAGAAGACCAGATGTAACAGTAATATTCAATACATCGATGAATGACAGAAAGGTGTAAGATAGATTCTTGTGAACTTGGCTTATTGATTTTTACTTTAGATGGGAAAGTGTTAAGCTCTCGGTCCTTGATTCAATTTTAGGCTTTATCATGAAGATTAATAGTATTTTGGAAGATTGATGATTTCATAATTTAAAACTTTTTTCTATTTTGATGGTTGCAATTGACAAATTAAGTCAAAGGAAGCTGCCATACTAAATAAATCTTCCCCAGTCAAACAGAGAAGTAATAATCTTAGGAAAGGCGTGAATTCTACTTTCCCTGAATGTTCTATCACTAATAGTTCTGATGAACTTTCCTCTTTAGTACCACAACTTCACGTGCAGTGAGAATACCATGGATGGAACATGCGATCAGTGACAAAGTTTTAGAGAAAATAGAAACAAAAAGTACACTTATACTTAACATCAAGAAGAGATAGTTGAAATTTCTGATTTGCATAATGAGGAAAGAGGGCTTGGGAAGTCTGATACTCACAGGGCAGATTGCAGAGACAAAGAACAGAGAAAACAATGCATAACCTACCTAGAGAGCTTGAGTAAATGGATAACAGAACAAGGTTTAGATGAGATAACAAAACGACAAAATTTATTAAGAGCTACAAGGAACAGAAAATTGTGGAGATCCATGATCGTCAATGCCCTGAAAGGACCCTTCATTTAGAAGAACAACAACAAATAGAAGAAGATTAAATTGGCAGTTACATTTCATAATTTCACTGCTAAAATTGCTAGTTGTAACTGTAAGTTCTATGCTAATACTTTCTTTTCACACACTTCTTACTTGTGGAACTTTTTTCTTTTTTTCTTTTTCATGGATTTCACCCCAAGCAAGGCAGTAAAGACACTAAAACACAAGAGTGTGAAAGAATTAGGAACAGAAAACATTATTAAAGAGTGAGAAGAGATTAATCAGAATGACCGTAGTTAGCAATTGACATTGCATTTAATTTTTTGGAGATTAAAGTTGGCTGGAAGGCATGAAGTCAGAAGAGAGATTCACAATCAAGTAGTGTGAAAAAAGAAAATGTTAGTATAGAATTTATGGCTACATCTAGCCAGCTGAACTGTAAATTGATGATGCCAGTCTAGTATTGTGCTTAAATTCAAAAACTCTAGGTGCCATAGCAAAGAGTTCATCCAAACAATTACCATGTAAACATGGAGGCAACCTTATGGCAATGGGAAGGTAACCAATAATAATCAGGACCAATAATATTGTTGATTCTTCTTTGGATTTTATCAAAGAGCTCAAGGTAAATAGTAGGAGCACCTGAACATATGTGGTAGCAATATTCTAAGCATGGATGAATGGTAGTCTTATAGATATGTAAGATAGATTCAGAAGAGAAAAATTGCCTCGCAAAACACAATGAACCAACTTTGTTAGCAGCTGACCTAGCAATGGATTCAATATAGTCTTTCCACTTCAAGTCAGCTGAGAACATTAGCCCAAGAAGGCACAACAAGTCCCTTTCCTGGAGGTTAGCATCAGCCATGCTGATGGAAAGCATAGAGGAATCTCTCAGATGATTAATGGAGAGAAGGTTTGTTTTGGTGTATTAAAATTAACAAGCCATCTTTTACCTGAGTTACCAACGGATTTGAGGTTATTTTGGACATCAGCTGCCATTTTGACCTTGTTGAACAGATCAGCGTTACTATTGAGACAGAAGTAAATACAATGTCAATCATCTTTTTTTTTTCCTTGAATCCTATTCTTTTATTGTCCATTATCTTTCTTTCACTTTCAGCAACCCCTTACATCTTTGTGACTCTTATCGCCTTACTTGAGGGGAAATGATTAAAAAAATTAGTTAACTTGACAAAAATCCTTGTCGCTGACATGATGATTGATAGAAAAGAGGATAGGAGATAAAGAACTGGGACAAATTGTCCTTTTCATACTCCATTAATAAGGAGAAAGTTTCTTCCCCAGAACTGTTGCATTGTGGAACACACTCCTGAGATGATGCTTATTCAATCACTACAATTTTAACCTCTTCAACCATTATCTATCCTACATATCCATCCTCACAATATGCACCAATTGCACCATTCTTGTATATCTTTATAACAACCTTATTTAGTAACCCTCTACTTTGAGTGACTCTTGGACCTTATATTGAGTGGATAATAGTAAAAATGAAAAATATCTACATTACCATCTCCGATGGTAACAGCAAAGAGTTATCACTGATTGCTTAACAGAAAACTATAAAATTTCCTTATTACTTTTCTTATTAGTTCTGTCTTTTATAACTATTTCTTTCTTATTTGTTTTATTTAGATGTCATGAATAACAGCTATTTTAAAAGCAGATAAGAAAAAAAATGTAAATTAGTAATCCACCTACTATATGACTTGGACAATTCTAGATAATTTTATCTTATCCAATATGTGTGTCATATGCTACATTACACAAGAATAAACAAAAGCAAGGTACTGTTGGTGAGGAAGAATAGAAGACAATATATATTAAAATAAAAGGTGGAATGTTTCTTTGTGGGCAAGGGAAGCAACTTGGAGGATGGGGGAGCCAGTAAGGCCTGGCATTGAAGCTTGCATCGTCAGTTGACCAAGGCCACTGGTGCTATCGGTGACAGCTTATCAACTCACCTGCAACTTCACTGAGTGTTACAAAGGGGGTCCTTTTAAGCAGTCAGAGTGGATATTGAACTCAGTATTTTTTTGTCACACTGTAGTGAGTCCCAATAAAAATAAAATATATAAAACGAAAATAAAAAGAATTCAAATTAAAATAAGGCATTTGCACTTTCCTTTAAAACCCTTTTCTCTTTTCTCTCTCTCTCTCTCTCTCTCTCTCTCTCTCTCTGAACTTCCCTTTTTATACTTCTCTCAATTATCAAGAAAGCAACCCTCAAATAAAAGAGGAAGAAGAAAAAAGCCTGAACCCAAACAAAAAATGCTGGAAGTTTTGCAGGACCAGAGCCTACTAATTTATGACTAAAAGCTCCTAAAAATATCCACACATAACTTCCATTATAAAAAAAAATTGGGAAATAAAATAATTTTGGCCAATCAAAAAAATTATCACAAAGAGGCTTTCGATGTTTGCTTAAACCAAGGTTCATGCCAGAGCTTCAGAGCCTGGTTAAAAGAGCTAGAAGAAAGTGAACAACAAGAGTGACGACAAGAAACATGATTGTCAGAAAAACCAGCCATGCATGACACATGAAGAAGTAGTTAAAAGGTCATCTGTTGATCATATTTCTGCCCTACTTAGGGCTAAGAAAAACAGAGTAGATTGACACTGACCTATTTCTAAAATGACCATAACTACTATCAAGTACTGACTTCCCAAATTCTTGAATACCGACTGAAATGGACTTTCTCCAAACTACTACCAATATCCAACTTATAAACAAACATTTTGCTACACCAAATACCAAAGGACTTACTCTAAAGCAATTTTTTTTTTTTACAGTAAGGATGACCTTGTACAAGGCCTGGAAGCCACTCAAGGTAGAAGGTTATGTTATGAGCCAATTTGTACAGATAAGAAGGGAAAATAATGGTTAATTCTAGATTTGGACAGGTTAAGATTATAGTGATCGGGGAAACATCCTCTTGGAAGTCTGTTCCCCAGAGCAGTGGTTCATGGAAAGAAGCTGTTTAAGTGGAACTTACTTCTTACCAATGGAATATGGAGGGAATGTGGGTAGTTTGCTACCCACATTCCCTTTTACAGCTAGGACCTACCACAGTGGCATGGTGGGTCCTTGCTGTAAAAGTTAGACCTGGCAGAACTAAGGAGTGTAGCTCATCTGAGCATTTTCCATGTAAGTAGCGATAGAGCAGCGGAGTATCGCCACATCCCACCTGTAGAGGAGAGGTTGAAAAATAATTCTTCTCCCAGAAGGAGTTGAAGAGACACTTTTGGACTATCAAGACTGGAAATTGAGGACTGGGCTACTGCCCAAATATGGTAACAATACTTCATTTTAGGCCTGATCTGGCTCTTATAAAGGTAGAGGATAGCATGAGGAGTCAGCTATTTACTAGAATAGTACAGGGAACCAACCATTTTACCTGCTTCTTTAATGATGGATTGTATTATATATACCTTATACTCTTAATCCAGTTTGTTTTATTCCAAAGTTCTGATAAACATCGCCAAGACTACTCTCACACAACACTCTTGGAAACATTTATGATTGAGTCCTTTTAAATTCTATGACTTTTTTTTTATTTTTAATTTTGCTCTTTTAGTGTTTACATCCGGCCAACATGTTTTGATGTGGAGTGAATCAGAAATAGATCTAATTTGAAGCAGAATATAACATGTCTAATAATCTTTCTTTTTCTTGTTTCAGAATGTTCACAAATCTTTCATCCGAACAGTTCCACCATATTTTCACCAAGCTGAAGTGTGGATAAAGTTACTGCAGTCCTTTAAGTGGACACAGGTTATGTTCATCCATAGTAAAGATGAAGACGGGCAAGCAATACTTGGATATTTTCAAACATTAGCCAAGGCTGAAGGAATAGCTGTAAGTTTCAGTTTTTCTTTTTGATGAAAAAGTTTTAAAATGATTTCATGTAATTATCAATCTGTACAATATTATCCACAGCAGATGTTTTCTTGACCCACCTTGAGGCAAAAATCTGCTATAAATAAAAGGCAAAAGATGTTTTAGATTTCAGTCATGGGGCATAAAAATATTTAAATGATTAAAAAATTTTAAAAAGAATTATTTTAAAGGTCATTATGCTTTGGCAAAAGGAATTTTATCTCTATATAATGTTAGTTAAAGATATCTTTCAGGCTACTTTCACTAGTTCCCAGACTGCATGAATTTAAGTGCGCTACTAGGCTGGCATCATGGTCCCACTTTTTCACTGTTGAAACGGTTAAATGTGGCTGTCTCTTCTACTCCAATAGCTTCATGTCTTGCACCACCCGTCTGTAGAATTCCCTTCCTATTACTTGTTTTCCTGATAGCTATAATCTCCAACTATTCAAATGTAATGTCAATTGACATCTCCAGATGCCTTGATCTATTCCCTGTCTTTCTCTTCATCCTTTCCTCTATCATGCCTCTTTACTTGAGCTCCCACTCTCTGTAACCCCTTGCGTGCTAGTGGCATCCTGCCTTGCTTGGGGTGAAATACTAAAAAAAAAAAGAAAGTTAAAATTATGAATCAAGAGAAAGCTCATTTCAAAATAGAGGCCTGATCAGGTCCATTTGTGTTTCCTCAAGACCCACAAAGCCCAGCTGTGGTTTATACTGCAACTATGCTGAGCAGACCTTAGTTACAGTTTCTGGGAGAGAGAACAGTTTGAACAAGAACAATATGCTCATGTCATTGTTCACAATGACATGTGGTTTTGTGCTATCACAACCATTGAGAGTTTCTATCTCCCCAATTTCATTTGCAAGGGTTGGGTCAACCCATACTTTGGCTTTCAAGCACTTCCCAATGGTGCTATACTCTGGGATTGTCTCCCCAGGCTGATAATATTAAGATGCCAGATCCTTGATAAATTGACCATGGTGAAATTCAAACCTGAGTCTCATCATTGGAATACCAATATTCTAAATATTTGACTGCACACCTAAATCAAGACAAATTTAAAATATATATATATATATATATATATATATATATATATATATTCCTACTTGTTTCATTAAATAATAGAGACAAGTGTTGTCTATTTAATTTATGTAAATTCTTTTCATAACGTCTGATAAGCTTAATAACATTATCATTAAACAAAGAAAGAAAATCACAATATTGATCCATATTTTTTAATCCAATCTAAGCTTTCGGCTTACATAAGCCATTATCAAAGATGTCAATTACTGTACAACATATTAAGCAATATACGGACAAGACAGTGATGACAGTGGCATCCCGCCTATATATATATATCCAAAGATTTTCTAAAAATGAGCATACATGATGAAAAGATGCACAAAACTTAAAAACAAAATTTTATCACCAAAATCTGTGTTATTATTAAGAGGAACAACCAAAGGATTTTTTGATAAACCTTCAAAATTTTAGTTAAAAATCTTGTTATGGCAAAGTTTGGGAATTTGCTACCTGCATCAGCATACCTCATCATGCACTCATAGTATATTTATCCTTGGGAGGAAAAGCCATAGAGGCTATATTGGAACTAGACATTACCATATTAGATGCTGATGTGGAATGGAAAAATTATATGAAAAGTTCGATACACTCTTTTGGAGGATGCTAACTTTTATGACATATGAATTCTTCAAACCATATCAAAATGTCATGTCAATAGATGACTATATTATTAACTTAGACTGTCATGTCACAAAGTTAAAGGACTACAAATATAATTACCAGAGCCAGTACTTGCCTACAGAGCATTACAAAATGCGAATCTGACACCAGAGAATGAGTGACTAGTAAAAGCACCCATTGGCAAATTAACACTGTCTGCAATGTCCAGATAACTTAAAAAATTATGCACAGACAGTTTTCTGATGCTTTGTCAACGAATACTCCACCAGTTGTGATAAAGAGAAACATGGATTGTGCCTACAAAGAAAACAGACAGGAAAACACTAATGAAGTATATTATAGTTGTTTGTCTAACCAGCATCCTTCTCGGTTTTCCAGTTGGCAAGATAACAGAGGCAAAAGAGGACATAAGAACAAAGTTCTGGTATCTTCTGACAAAAATTGAACCTGAAGGCAATACCACCAAATACTTCACATGTGGCTGCAAATTCCACTGGAGCTACAATTGTCCATATGCTGATAGCACCAGTAATAAACAGGATAGGAGTCAAAAGGATGAATACATATCTGCAGCCAACATTGTGCTGATGAGTCAGCTAAAGCAGGAAGATAATGGTCAAACATTTTTGGATGAGACACTTGGTTTAGCATTTCTAGATAGTATTGCTTTGGCTACTGTTTGTGGGACTACATGGTATGAGTGTTTTCTGGAAACCATTCCTGTCTAACAACAACAAAAAATAAATGTCTCAGAAGGACTAAGAACTTAAATTTTGGCAATGGAAAAAAACTAAAACTACTTTCACAGCTACTCTACTGTGTGTCATTGCGGACATTGAAAAGAGCCAAGACATATATAAATTTTGAAAATAACAGCGTCACAATTCTTGGGAAAAAGGTTCAAATGTGGTGTAGCTTGTCTGGTCACTATCACATCCCTATTACCAGACCTCCACCAGATTGAGGCAAGTTTATTAATCAAATACTTTTCATTAAAGAAATTATTACCAAAAACACATCAGAAAAATTAGAATTGCAACAAAATTACATAGACAATTCAGCCATCCAAGTAGTGAAAAGTTGTGTGATCTAGTTAAGAATGCAGGAATAAAAGACCCTAAATTCATAAAAATTTTACAAGAACTTCCTAATTCATGTGAAATATGCATTTGACAAAAAGACTGGGCCCAAGCCCATTAAGTTCTCATTAGATTCATATTTTAATGAAGTTCTCATTAGATTCATATTTTAATGAAGGCATTGCCATGGACATTAAAGAAATTAATAAAAAAAAAAAATGCATCTAATTGATCATGATACAAGATACAGTGTTGGAGTCAGGATTCCTAGTAAGGAAAGTTCTGACATTCTTGGTGCTATATTCACACACTGGAAAGAATATTTTGGCACTCCGGTATGTATCCTCACTGACAATGGCAGGGAGTTTAATAACCAATCATTTAGGGACATGTGACAGAACTTGAATACTGTAGTATACACTAATGCTGCTGAAAGTCCATGGAGCAATGGTTTGAATGAACAACACAATGGGATTAGTCAGTTATGTGCCATGCATGATATGCATTTTGTGATCATGTATCTTTTGATACATGACTGACGAGGTAGATTTTTTTCCCACAGTAGGTTGCCATTTCTTTCTGCAGTAGACCAGTTATCATCCAAGGCTATAGAACCCAGTCTGTTCTACTATTTATCCATAGCTGGGGGAGAAGAAGAGGATTCATACCTTTCCCAAGGGTATTAATACATGAATGTACTGGGCAAAATGGTGAAGAAAACCACTGAAGACACAATTTGTAGTTTTGATGTAGCACTTGTATGGGCCATAAGTGTCAAAAATACACTTCACAGTGTCCATGGTTATAGTACTAACCAACTTGTTTTTGGCAAGAATTTGAAATAGCCTTCTTTTTTAAATGACAAACTCCATGCATTAGAAGATATTTCTACCAGTGAATTTGTTGCAAATAACCTCAATGCAATGCATGCTGCCAGGAAACATTTCATAGCATGTGAGTCTTCAGAGAAACTAAGATGCACACTTCATCACCAAGTTTGAATAAATATAGTGTAGTCATACAATAATGGTGATACTGTTCTCTATAAAAGAAACATATGTGATAAATGGTTTGGTTCAGGAACTGTCACAGGGTGGGAGCATAAGCAGGTACTTGTAAAACATGGTGGTACATATGTGAGAGTGCATCCATCCCATTTAGTCTCCTACCCTCAAGCATCTCAAAGTTCTTAAGATGGCACAATAATGAAACAGATGCCCAACAACTTATAAAAATGACCTTATAAAACTCCAAAGGTCTCAATTTTTGAAGAGAATGATATGGATGAAGAAAGCCCAAATGTAAATATTGAACAGCTCCAGACTGTGAAAGCAAGGGACAGACCACCCAAGCAAAACTTCATTCTTAAGAAAATTGCGCTCACAAAAGCAGGACAAATTATTAAATGCAAGATTGCCAATGATGATGATTCAGAATGTAGAAAATTGAATGTCTTCAGTAGAGTGGGCAAAACAGCAGGCAAAAACAATCACTTAATGAATATTGTTATGGAACAAGGCGAACCCTTTTGGCTGGAGTAAGAGAATGGCAAACAAGTGAAGTTAAGCAAACAAGAGAAGATGAAAAAACTTCTTGCAGTGAGGAAGATATAATGATTTCCTTCTCAAATGATGATCTGGAAAAGGCGAGAAAGAGGGAGTTCCAAAGTTGGGTTAAAAATAAAATTCCTGACCAAGGTCAAACTAAAATATCCACAAGATGGGTTTATACTTATAAAAGGTCTAATGGATAAACAGATTTGTAAACCTAGAATTGTAGCTCAAGGCTTCCAGGACAAAGATGCTTGCAATATAAGAAATGATTCTCCCACTTTCTCTAAAGTAGGTCTAAACATAGCATTGGGAATAATGGCATCTAACCAATGGATGTGTAAATCCATGGACATAAAAACTGCATTTTCTACAGAGTAAACAGTTAGACCATTTGGTTTATTTAGAACCTCCAGAAGAGGCCAATGTATCTCCAGGTTAGATTTGGAAGTTCTCTAAACATGTATATGGTCTGACTGATGCTTCAAGATCCTGGTACCTGACACTCAAGGATGAATTAATTAAATTAAGAGTGGGAGTATCAAAATATGACCAGGCAATATTTACATGGCATTTTGGAAACAAACTGCAGAGTATAATTGCTTCCCATGTTGATGATTTCTACTTTCCAGGAAGAGAAATCTTTCAGCTCAGAATTATAGA